CCCTCCCGCCCCGCGGCCCCGTTCCCACCCGCAGCTCGCGACGGCGGCGGCGCCGAGCCCCAGGTGAGTGCGTGGCCAGGGCCCGGCCCTCGCGCCGCAGGTACCGGACGGCGGGAGGTGGCTTTGTTTTCCTTCCTCGCGCTCCGGCGCGGTCATTCATTTGACATTTCGGCTTCCCCTGCCCTGAAATGCGGGTGAGAGGCACCGGGACGTGTTTCGTGGTTTGATTACCCCAGGGAGCTGAGACTTTTGGGTCCATTTGAGCATCACTTTAGGGAGAGGGGGCTTCATTTCTTTTTGGTTAGGAATGTATAGTGAACATCCTCTGCTGGGGCTTGGGGCCTGGAGGAAACTGGGGCTGCAGATTTAGACGTAGACGTTTCCGAGGACGTGCGACTGCAGAGGTTGGCTCTTGCATGCCTGTCTTTTCCTCCCTTTGCAGTGCTCAAGTGTTTTTCCTTGATAATTATCAACTTTAGGAACATCTTTACAGGCACGTTTCTTTCTTTTAGAGTTGGAAGTCTTTGGAGACAAGACAGAGAGCTCACAGAGTTACAAGGGATCGATATTAAAGTTCCAGAAGGCAAGCATCGGCGATCATCATAGTTAGAGGTGGACGGTAGGCAAACTTCCTGGGAGGCTTTACGCCTTCCTGGTCTGTTTCTGCTGTCACTGCCCCAGAGTCAAGCAAACTCTGAATTCTCGTGTATGTACACCCTTGTGAAAGTGTGAAACTTGTCTTTTCTTGAACACTTTTCTGTACTTTGGCTTTTAGAAGAAAAAGATTTTAATGTAATTAGTAGCGTCCTCTGTTAGACCTGGTGAAATTTCAAGTATGCGTTTGTCTTACAAGTATGATTTTCGTTTTATTATTTCTTCTGTTCCCTCAAGGGTTCATTTCTTCGTTGCCTAGAGAGAGCTTCCCCCACCCCCCTCCTCCCAACAGATGGCTCTGTATGTTCTGAGAGGTTATCTTTAAAATGACACTCACAGTCCCTATAAACAGAGAAGGATCAGTTATTAGGCTTATTGTTGGCATTATTAAAGCAAGAGGCCTAATCTGGATGGGGATATTATTAATGGTGTGAAAATCTGGAGTTTGCTAATCTGTTTGGTCATCAGAAGATTCCTGCAGGGATTGTTTATATAGTGTGGGAGACAGATGGCATCCCTAGCAGACAAGAGAAGCCAGGCATAAAGGGTCATTGTATCTTTCAGAAACTATCCACTTCACTGTTTGGAAGAGGGGTAGGGTGGGGTGGGGGGTGGGGAAGACATCATTTTGATCTCCCAAAGGAGACATAACCTTATCATCCGATCTCCTAAACCAGTTAATTTCTTCTTTCTTTGAACATGTAAAAAGTCATCATTAAGCTATTTGTTTTGATTATTTGTTTGGCACATTTTGGTCTTATTTGTAATCATGTGAAGCAGTTTAAACAGTTTTCTTAGCAAAAATGTCTTCGAATTTAAGATTATTCTACCACTTATGGGGAGAAAAGAGTCATAACTTTCTTAGGTCTTGTTCATTTCAACAAATGACCCCTTGGACTCATAGTGTCTCCTAGCTGGAAGGACTTTGGTCCAATCTGCATGAATTCTTCCACCATCTCTAAGACAGGTGATTCCCTAACTTCTAGCACTTGCCCTCAGACCCTCAGCTATGGGTAGAATCAGCTTCTGTAATTACTTAGCCTAAGACATTGGCTTTACCATTGCCTCTATCACAACATTGAGCAGCCTTTGGCAGTGAATCTTTATGAATGACTGTGGAGTCCGTGAAGAATCAAAGTCATTCTGAACATTTGAGATAAGCCAGCTGGAGCTTTTCTGCTCCAACCACCATTATAGGTTCTTTGTGTGCTGTAGATTGCAAAACTGGTCTTCCCTCAGTGATTGTGAGGGAAGATATCCCAGTAAATTAATATTCACCAGCCACAGGACGAGATTTGATGAAGAACATGAGTGATGTTTGACCCCTCTGAATAAGAAGTATGGAATAAAAGTAAGCATTAGCTCTGTTTAACTTGGGCAATATGATCTTGAGAGAAAAACATGGTTTCTTATTCTTTTCAAAGCCCTTTTCACCCCTGATCTCAGCAAAAGACAAAGAAACTAAAGTTGTTACCTGTAATTGAGGACAGATGGTATAACCTTTTGGGTGAATGCATTTTGCAGGAGAGGTGGCTTTTGGGCTGTGTCCAGTTTCAGTGGGTGCCCTAGCATCGAAAGATCTAACATTCAAAATACTTGTTAAATCTGTGGTTGGATCTGTGTACCCTCTCCCCAGGTTGCTGTCTCTCTTGTGAAGTGTTGCTTTAAGAGAAACCCGAGGCTCCAGGTCTGGGGCTTGCTATGGGCCTGGCCTGGATCCACATTCTCTTGTGTGGCTTGTTTTCTTGGGTAAAAATGGAACCAGTTTTGCATGGTGTGTTGGATAGGGAATGGCAGCATGGCATGAAAACATTTCTAGTTTCATTGTCCGAAGTCAGGCCTGGCCTGAAAAAGAGAGGGCTATATTTGAAGTTCGGTGGATCCAACACAGGCAGAGGTTATTTCTTTACACACAGGATGTCTTTTGTATGGGAATATGAATCAGGAATTAGGAGAGTGACCAGAACTCCTAGTTTGTCTACGATGGTCCCAGCTTATTCCTACTGACCTATGTTAGTTATCAAAAGCATCCCTTTTCACGTTTAGAAGTGCCGTGGTTTGGCTGATAAATTATACAGTCATCCTAGATGTTAAGGAACCTTGACTTTTCTTTACTACGCCCTCCTGTCCTCAGATTTTGAGTCTTGCTTTATTTAGTCTTTTATTTGTTATATGTAAAGATAAGAAAGGTTAAAAAAAATTAAACCAGAAAATACATACAGAAAAAAGAAACAGGAAGATAGAAGATCGAAGAATGAGGTCATTGCTTGCCATCTGTTTACACATATAGGAAATAAATATTTTTATCCTTAAGTTGTTAAGTGTGTACTATGGCTCTAAGCTTATGTTATTATTGTCTTCAAGAATGAGAAGAGTTACACTTGCCCATTTACTGCGGGCTGACAGGAATTGGAATAACTCCTGGAACTTGGGAGAAGAGCTTTGACAAAACCTGTTTGCAGACCTGGCAGATGCATGGCTCTTGCAAAAGTGAATGCAAATTTCAAGATTTAGTGTTTGGTCCAGTTTTGGGATATTTACTGAGAGTTCAGAACACAAGTGTTGTTGTGAAGACGTGACTCAACATTCTTCTAGTTTCCAAGCTCTCTGGGCCACAGGATAATAGAAGAACCTTTGTTTTCGATCTTCTCTTCTGACTCCAGTCTTGGGTTTGGGTCTCAGCTTTTCATATGGAGGGCTTACAGAGAAGAACTTGGTGTGCCTGCTCACCGTGCGAAAATTCTCATAGGGGTTTGAGATTGTGCAGGCGACCTGGTAGGGGTTTGGGTTCCAAAGCTAGATAGTTGGAGCTTGTGGCATCTACTTCTGCAGCAGTTGCTGTACGATTTTGCTGAAGAATTGCCTGTTTGAAATAGTTCACTTGCAGTGCTGGCCAATAGGTGTTATAGTTAATTATGGTTGTCACCTTTTCCATACCCACTCCACTAAGAGCCTCAAAACTGAGTTCAGCATGCCTGAATAGGAAGGAATTTCTGTATCTCCTTTATAAGTAGGGTGACATGTAATTCTTCTGTCCAGACAAGGACACATTTGAGAGTAAGAGGGAATAATAACCGGAAGGGGCACTGGATCAACAGGTATAAGCTGGGACTGTCCCAGGAAAACAATGATGTATGGTCATCTTAAGTAGGGCCCGAGTCATTAGCTTTTATATGAAGAATACCCATATGATGGAAAAAATGTCTTTAGCTTCTTCTAAATTTGCTCAGCATATTTGTTTATGTGTGTGCATGCGTATATGTGTATGTGTATACGTTTACATGAACACTGATCATATATCTATAGATATGTGTCCTGTGGGATTGAAATAAACCGCTAAAGAATGCTTAGTTATTTGGAAAATTGTGGCCCTCATAACCTCTTTCATGGACTGACTTTAAAACTAAACTCTCTGCATCCAGCCTCTCTAAACTTTAAGTCATTTCCTGACCCTGTGTAATTCGAATACTAATCTGTTAGTATAATTCTTGTTTAAAAACCTGTGATGGTGCTCGTTTTCTGTTTAGTTCTCAAAGATCTGCAGACAGTTTGGTGGTTAGAAAGGC